GGGGAGTCTCATCCTGAACTGCAGGAGCTGGTTGTGCTCGGTCCTGCTTTCTGCCTTTCAGGATAGCGACAGTTTTGGTCATTGCCGTCATGGCGACCGTCACTTGCCTTCTCCGCCTCTTCCCGTGTCCTCCCCAAGGCTGTCGCCACTGCTGTCACCACAGCAGTCACGAGGAGGGTCATGTCTGCCTCGTCGAAGAGATCGTCATCTCCCGACGAGGGCTTTGATGCCTTCTTAGAAGCTTTCTTCTTTGGCTTCTTCTTGGGCTTCGGCATCTCCGGAAACTCCGTTGTGTTGGAGACTTCCGGTGTCGGCTGTGGGGCGGCTTCCTTCCTCTTAGGAGGTTGGGGGGCCTTTTCACTTTTCTTCCTGCCCCACACATACGTGCCTGGGGGGGCAGGAATGAAATCTGGTCGCTTTTCAGCAACCTCTTGGCGCTTGAGGGCCGCCTGTTTCCTGACAGAGCAAGTCAGGCTCCAGGCGTGATGCCTCTTGGCACAGTTGGGACACTTGGCTGTTGTCTCCTTCTTTTCTCTGTGGGCCGTCAGGCACACCTCGGTGTTATGGGCCTTACTACAGACACCACATTTGGGCTTGGCTGTACAGTTAGCCTGGTGGTGTCCATATTTCTGGCACTTGAAACACCGAAGTGGTTCAGGCACAAACGTTCGAAGCTTAAAGGTGCCCCAGTTACCCAAGTCAAGGGTAGTGGTTGGGGCACCTTTAAGTGTAACCAGGACTTGCCTGGTTGGAGTCTTCCCTACTGTCATTCGGGAAGCCTCCACTACCTGAGGATGTGAAGTGATTAGCTCCACATCATAGGAGACTGGGAAGCCAAGTAACACCATCTTGCTTCTCTTCTCCTCGGGGGTCAATGGGGAAAGACTCACTTTTCTCCCATCTGCGAGTTCCCTGATTTCCCGAAGGAAGTTCAGGGTGGCACGATCTTTCGGCACTATGATCATGCCTTGGTCTCGGGCTACTCGGATTGAGAGCCGGAGTTTTCTGTGCCTCTCCAATGCTCTCACCAATTGGTAGGCATTGTCGAAGCCTTCTGGTTTAGCTGGGACCTTGAAATGGGTCAAGCGACTGTGGCTGGGTCCGGACTCTCCGTCAGAGTCCGTCTCCGGCCTTGGTCGCTTCTGTGAGCCCTGTCGGCTGGTGGGCTCGTTTGTGGGGGGAGCAGCTGCTGGTTCGGCTGGTCCAGCCTGTGCTCGCGCCCCTGTCAGGGAAGCCACCTGAGGGGGACTCAGAGGCTTCCCTGGCTTGGGTGCTGGTCTGGAGAGACCAGCACGAGAGTCCATCTCTTTCACTCTCTGATGGACTATTCCGCCATCTGGAGGCATGTATGGCTCCAAGGTGGCTACCGTGGTCTGGGCATTGCATGGTTCGTCAACATTTTTATCTAGTGGGGTTTTTTTATTTAATTTCTCCATATACTGGTAAGTGCTTCATCCTCTCACGCCCCCACCCACCACGGAGTCCAACAAGGGGAAGCTGTGTGTCAGAGCCAGTGTCTGACAGCCACAGGGGTGATGAGAGGATATACGCAGCCAATAACCATTGTGGCGGCACTCACGGACCATTGTGAGTGCCAATGGAGGCATGACTGCTTGGCCCTAGCCTCCCGTGGGAGACCAGCCGATTGACCGTGACCGGGCCGGGATCAGGTCTCCTGTCTTGCTGGAATAGAGGACCAAAGAGGCGTGTTGCTAGCCGCAGGGCGTACTCATTCACGGCATCGCTCATACTCCAGGACTCCCGTCTCCACAGCGCACGAGGCTGCCACGCACGGCAAACGCGTGGGTAGGTGTAAACCCCTGGGGAGAGACCAGAGGGGATGTCCTTTCACCTACGGGACATCATTGTTTGGAACCCTAGTGCTCGTCCCTCGGAGAGAGATGAGCCCTTTCACTTTTTCCGGCAGGTTCCTCTCATCCCTATCAAGGGAGGAGAGGGCCTGAACCTTTTTCAAAGTGATTTCCTCCTTCCTCTGAAACAGCCAAAGCTTGTTTCACCACAGTGAGGAAGGAGGAGTCCTGCACCTTTACAGGGAAGCTCGTTCAGCCCTCCAGTGAGGGAGAGAAGCTGCCTTTCGAGGTGGTTCCAGTGGCGGGACAATATCGTTGTAGGAGCCGGTGTAGGTGTGAACCCCTGGGGAGAGACCAGAGGGGATGTTCTTCCACCTACTGAACATCATTGTTTGGAACCCTGTGCTCATCCCTCAGAAGCAATCACACAATGGTTGCTTGCTTCTCCACAATGAGGGATGGAGCTCTTTCACTTTTTCCAGCTGTTTCCTCTCAACCCTGGGAGGGGAGAGGGGTTAAGCCTTTTTCAAAGTGAATTCCTCCTTCCTCTGAAACAGCCAGAGCTTGTTTACCACAGTGAGAAAGGAGGAGGCCTGCGCCTTTTCAAGGAAGCTTTTTCGCCCCTCAGAAGCAGCCAGTCAAGGCTGCTTCACCACATTGAGGGAGAGAAGCTAACTATTTTTCAAGGC